ACTCCCAGTGCGCAGAGGGGATCATTAATTTGATCACATTTAATAAAGATAAATGCTGGTCATAGCAATCTCATGTTGTCAACTTTAACTAATGAAGCCAGTGGAAATTAATTTGAACAACCCTCCACATTGTCATGGTTGTTTCTTCCTCCAGGAGCATCAAGGCTTCCCCCCCACCCCCCGCCCGCCTCCTTAATTGATTTGTGACCCATTAGAAATCTTTCTGGGCTGAATACAAGAAGCTGGGAAGTGGGAACATATCCCATAATGAGACTTTAGAAACACGTTTCTATGTAATTGATCTAGTTCAGTAATTTCTCAGAGAAACTGGCTTCTCTGCCATGGCATCAGTCATATTTTTAGCCAGTGACAGCAACAACGAGTGTGTCAGACCCAGGTGACAACTTCAGAATGCTGCTCTGATGTGCTTCCTTATTGGTGCTGGCCTGACATTTAATAAATCATTCCCCAGATATTTATTGAGCACCCATGAAGGGCCAGGCACAGCTCTAGGCAGCTCTGGGAGAGACTGTTTGGTGTGAGGGACCCCCCTCCACCCCGTCCCCTTGTGATTAGTCCAGGGATGGACACGTGACCGGATGCAGTGAGGAATGTTTCCTGGAGGCTGCTGGGAAAGTTCTTCTCTCTTCCACAGGACAGGAAAGAAACTGAAGATCTTTTAAGCAGTAGGTATGTAAAAAGGCCGTGGGCAATGGATTTTCATCCCAGGATTGCTTGCAATCGTGAATAACTAGAAGAAATCATAGAGTTTTGTTAAGTAAACTATGGTTTCTCAATAAAAAGCAATGCTGCTGGGACCAGTGAATCAGTGGATCAGATTTCAGTGGACCAGTGAAATCTCAGCACTTTGGGAGGCCAAGGCAGGAGATCCCTTGAGGTCAGGAGTTTGAGACCAGCCTGAGTAACATAGCAAGACCAGGTCTCTACAAAAAATTAGAAAACTTAGATGGGTGGGGTGGTATAGGCTGGTGGTCCCAGATACGTAGAAGTCTGAGGCAGGGGCATTGCTTGAGCCCAGGATTTTGAAGTTGCAGTGAGTTATGATTATGCCACTGTACTCTAGCCTTGGTGACAGAGTAGGACTGTGTTTAAAAAAAAAAAAATGCAACGCCATACTGTTATTTGAAATACAATGACTATAAAAACATGAAGAAAGGATTACATAATTACCCTAAAAGAAAAAATTATATGCAAAACTATATGTATGTGGGTTAGGGTCAGTCATTACAAAAGTTTCAAGATACACAAAAACCAAGAACCATAAAATCTGTGGCAGAAACGAATGAAGCCCTCCCAGCAACACCAATAAACTGAGCAGGTTGAAATTTGCATGGGTTAATCAGAAGTGAAATGACAGGCAGTAGCACAGCCTGTCTCAAAACCTTTGTAGTGACCTACATATATATGCTTTGATTCTGACTCTGTAAACATTACATGGGTTTATAAGAATTAAAATTAGAAGGTCATTATTAGCAAATGGAAGTAACTACTTTGGAAGACTGGGGATTGTGAGTAGTTAAAAATATCATTTGAAGTATTTTCTGGTGGACTCTGTTTTATTTCTTGTGACGAGCCCTCACGGTAAGTTCTGAACAGGTGAACCAGTTGGCTGCCATTTTCTAGGGTTTTTCTTGTGAGAACGTTATTCCTATTTTCCTGGCAGTTACCCGCCAGGCTCGAGCCTTCCAGCCTTCAGATGAAATTGGAGCTGAGTGTGGCAGAGTGGAGGGATGGAAAGGGGACAAAGTCTCTCAGGGACCTCAGCGAGCTGCTCCACCGCACAGCTGGACTCCTGGCTGGGTGGGCTGACATATTTCCAGGTCGTTTCATCTGGCTGGGATTGAACTTTCAGTTGAGGCAGAAAGCATCATAACCCAAACCTTTCCCACAGCGTCCTCCGCTGCTTTAGAAAGTTAACCTCGTACCTTTAAAGAGCAGCTGTTGAAAAGGAGCCACTTTAGACAATGTGTTCTGCAGAAACAGCCATTCTCTACACTCTCCTCTCTCTTTGGTTTCATCTTATCCCCATTTTTCCTACTTTTTTCCTTCTCAAACTTGGGTTGCATCAGAATCATGGGGGGCGGGGCACTGTTCTTTAAAATGCAAATTCCTATAGAGCTTGGTTGGAGTTTTTGTTGTCTGGCTTTTTGCTAAACTCTCCAGGAGACTACACGGCCACCGGATTTGAGACCCAGTATTGAGGTGTACCTCTGTTTCAGGGTGCCTGGGATTGCTGGCAAGGATAAGCCCAGCGGGGATAAAAGGAAGAGGCTGACAGAAGGGAGTCCACCCCATGCTTGCTTCTTTCTCCTTCAAATGCATAATCAAACACACAAGGAAAAAAATGACTTGATTTTTCCTTCCAGAGCTATTTGGACAGTGAACGAACATGCCAAGAGAGAGCTTGGTGAAGACTTACATGAGCCTGATTTGGGTCAAAATTAAGCAGTCAAGCCTCAGACCATGCCCTTGTGGAAAGACAAATTGAACATGTTCAAAAGATGCATTTGAACCAGCTGTTTGGAATTCTGGTCGAGGTTAATGGTTCTTTACCTCAACATTAGATGAAGGCATAGATTTTGATGATTCCACTATTTTAGCAAACTTTGTTTGCTCCATTTCTACTGAGAATGTAATAACAGTAACATTCGATTAATTCTGAGATGCAATTGCTCTTACCCCCATCCATTTTTAGCAGCTGTGTAATTGGGATGTGTTTTATGATCAATATCTTGTGGTCAGTGACACAAGGTCAAGACTCTGTTGTCACTTCCAACACCTTCTGATGAGACTGAGAAAGCCCTAGCAATAAATCTGAGTGTCAGAAGCCTGGGAGAAACCCCTCTGGTTATTAAGCAGAAAAATGCCCCAGGTTCTTTCTGTCCTGGGCTCCCTTCCATTGGTGGCCGCCCATCACCACAGCCTGCCCATTGGCAGACAGGGTCTTTGGACTTGAGGGCTTCCTTGGCAGAGTGGCCCCTGTAGTTCTAGCCCAAGAGGCCAGTGGAGTGTGGTTTTCAAGGCTAAATCGGAGACCACCCTAGAATTTTCAGGTTGAAATGGAGCTTTTCCCTTGCTTAGTTTCACTTGGTTTTGGTACCACAGGGGTTAGGAATGGATGTTACAGCTGTGATGGGCTCACTTTGAGCCCAGTGAAACCAGCAGAGTCTATTACGGGTCTATAAATGATAGAATCTTTAACACTCTTTGCATAAGCTTTTCCTTATTGTATTGGGCTTTTAAAAGAAGAGAACATGTTTCCATGTATTTTTTTTTTTTTTTTTGAGATGGAGTCTCACTTTGTCACCCTCAGTAGAATGCCATGATTTCATAGCTCTCAGCAACCTCAAACTCTTGGGCTCAAGTGATTCTCTTGCCTCAGCCTCCTGAGCAGCTGGGACTATAGACACCCGCCACAACACCCAGCTATTTTTCAAGATGGGGTCTCATTCTTGCTTAGGCTATCTTGAACTCCTGAGCTGAAGTGATCTACTCACCTCAGCCTCCCAGAGTGCTAGGATAACAGGCGTGAGCCAATTGGCCCTGCCTACATTTCCATGTATTTTAATATTCATTTAATAATATGTTTTGGCACTGCTCTGGCCAGCATCAAAAAAAACAAAATAAAACAAAACCCCCCAAATCGGTGTCCTCACAGAGCTTCTGTGCTAAGATGGGGAGGCAGATCCTTAAAAGATGATTAAAATATCTAGAGTGTCTGATGGTGATCCATACTAGAAAGAAAAATAAGGAGAGAGAGGTGGAAATATGTGTGTTAAAGGGCAAGTTGTGATTTTAGGAAGGATGCGTCACATGCTACTGAGTGGATGACATCTGAGCAAACCACTGACGGTGCCAGATCAGTTGTTTTGAAGCAACAGCCTCTAAGGCAGCTGAAGAATTGACTATAGGCTGTGGGAGAAGGAGACAAATTGGGGGTGACGCCAAGGCTTGGTGGACAGTTTATGACATGTTCATAGCGATCCCACCTCCTGGTATTCACACCCTTGTGGGGCTGGCAGAGACTTAGTGACTTGTTTCTAATGAATAGATTGTGGCAAAGTTGATAGGATCTCACTTTCGTGATTTGGTTACAAAAGATCATGACTTCTTTCTTGTTGGTAGACTCACTCTATTGCTTTCTTGGCTAGCATGCTTCAGTGAAGCAAGCTGCCTCTCCAGAGGTCCATGTGGCAAGGAATGGAGGACAGCCCCTGGCCAACAGCCTGTGAAGGAGTGAGGCCTCAGTCCAACCACTTATGAAGAACTGAATGTCAATGATACCCACATGAGCTTGGAGTGGGTCCTTCCCCAGTTGTGCCTTATGATGAGATCACAGCACCAGCCAACAATGTGATTGCAACCTGGGAGGGACACTAACACAGAGGGGCAGCTAAGCCATGTCCAGATTCTTCACCCAAGAAACCATGAGGCAACGCATGTGTGTTTTAAGCTGTTAAAACACAGCTTTGGGAAAATTTGTTATGTAGCCATGTATAACTAATACACAATGTTTCTGGCCTAGTCAATTGAAAGAATAAGATGAGTATAGGTAGAAGTTTTTTCCCCAGTGTGTGGGAATATAGCAAGTTTGATTTTAAATACGTGTATATATAATTCACAGATATTTCTCTTTTTGTGATAATACTTATTAATTTTCCAAATGGTAGTTGGCTGTCAATATATATGATCTAAATGCTCTCGTATGAACTTTAAAAAACAAAATTATTTACAGCATCTTCAAAAATCATTTCTATAATAATTCTTGCCAAGAGAGGGCCATTTTGGTCCTGGCATCGGGTGGCCAATGTGACAAGAACAGTCAAGTCTCTACACAACCCTGGAAATCAGTCATTTTTAATCTGAGCCATTCTGATTAATCTGTGGACAGTCCTTATCCACAGCTGATTTAGGAATGGACATGTGACACTATCCTTGCCAAAGAGTACTGAGCAGAAACTTTCCATTTCTGCCTACAGGCATTGCTGTGTACACGTGTTACCAGGGACCAGGGCAGACACCTTGGGACCACAAACCACGTTGGGCTGAGCTCTGAGATCAAGTCCACAGGCTGAGGATGGCCAAGTGGAAAGACAGGTAAGCGTGGGTCCTTAATGCTATGGTTGAACCACCACATTTACCAGGCCTGGAACCATGACATTTGTTGTTGTAGGAGGGAGGACATTTTGTAATGGTTTAAGTCATTTTGAGTTGGATTTTCTCTTGCTTGTAGGTAAAATCACTCTAAGTGAGACAGGAAAATTTAAGAAGCAGTTCTAGTTTTCTGGCTTGGCCAGTGGACCCATTTTCTGTAACAGGACATTCAAAGGAGAAGGTGATGGGGCTGGGGGTGTGTGGAGAAATAATAACCTCAGTTCAGGACATGCTGAGTCAGAGGTGCCAGGGGGACACCTAGGCAGGGACATCTGGTGAAGGTTTGAGGTACATATCTGGAGAGCAGGAGCCAGGTCTTGGCAGGAGGCAGAGCTATGGTTCCCCTTGATGAGCTCCTGCAGGAGGTTGCCATGCAGGCTTTGACTTGGGCTTGGATCTAAGCCTTCCTTCTCTTCCCCGTGTCTCCTGGGGCAGGGTCCCTCACTCCTTAAGCCTCCATTTCCTCATTTGTAAAATGGGAATTCTTGCTTTAATGTTTCCAGAGTCGAGATTCTTCTCTTAGTGTGACAGGGACATTGCAAGATCTTCACCAAACCTTGTTTTCCTTTCCTCGGGGGCCCACAGACCAACCACTGACTCCAGCATCTCCCACTGGAAGGTGGGGCATGTGGATGAATTCTGACTGGTGGGATGTGGTGGCCTCTCTTCCCCTCCTGACAGCTGGATGCAGAGAATACAAGGTGGCGGGGGGTGGAGGGCAGGCTTCTGGGGCTCCAGGGATGATGACCCTTTCGATGGAAGACACCTGGGTCTCTGAGTGGCTTGGTGGAGAGCACCCACCCACTAATCACCTACACTGGATGTTACATGAGCAAAATATAAACCTTGAGCCTGTTGTTTTGATATGTGTAGCAGCCCACACCCCCTGCCATGACTCATTACCCAGTTTTTCCCCTGTCTGATACACAAGATAACATAGGTGTACCCAAATAGTTTTGAATTTTGATTTGTTATGTAGGTGTGCAATTGTCAGGTTGGGCTGCTATAACAAAGTGCCATAGGCTGGGTGAAAAACATTTATTTCTCATAGTTCTGGAGGCTACAAGTCTGAGATCAGGGTGCCAGCAGTGCTGCATTCTGGTGAGGGCTCTATTCCAGGCTGCAGACAGCTGACTTCTTGCCGTATCCTCACATGATGGAAAGACTGCTAGAGAGCCCTGTGGGGTCTCTTTTGTAAGGACACTAACCCATGCATGAGGGCCCCACCCTCATGACCTAATCACCTCCCAATACCATCATATCAGGGATTAGGATTTCAATGTAGGAATTTTGCGGAAGACAGAAAGATTCAGACTACAGCAAGGTATTAAACACACATGCACAAACATATACCTACACACATACACATGTGCACCTATATGCACACATACACACATACATATACACATACACATGAAACTACCTCTTCTGTCTTATGATTTCAGAGGTACTACTGTTCATTAGGACAAGGGTTTGTTTAATTAACTGAGGGGTTAAAGAAAAATGTGAAGTAAATAACAGAAAAGCCTGTGAGGTGGCAGGGCAGGCTGGCTTATATCTGTAATCCTAGCACTCTAGGAGGCTGACGCCAGGCTGAGATGGGTGGATTGCTTGAGCTCAGGAATTCAAGGCCTGTCTGAGCAAGAGCAAGACCCCCATCTCTATTAAAAATAGAAAAACTGAGTGGAGTGTGATGGCTCATGCCTGTAATCCTAGCACTCTGGGAGGCTGAGGTGGGTGGATCACCTGAGCTCAGAGCTCAAGACCAGACTGAGCAAGACCTTGTCTCTACTAAAAATAGAAAAACTAGCTGGGTGTTGTGGCAGGTGCCTGTAATCCCAGCTGCTTGAGAGGCTGAGGGAAGAGGATCACTTGAGCCCAGGAGGCTGCTGTGAGCTAGGCTGATGCCACGGCACTGTACCCAGGGCACAGAGTGAGACTCTGTCTCAAAAAAAAAAAAAAGAAAGAAAGAAAGAAAGAAAAGGTGCAAGGGGGCAGCCTGTGGCTCAAAGGAGTAGGGTGCCAGCCCCATATGCTGGAGGTGATGGGTTCAAACCCAGCCCAGGCCAAAAACTGCAAAAAAAAAAAAAAGAAAGAAAAGAAAAGGTGCGAGGTGACAATGGCAATGATCATAACAGTGGTGTGCGTGCTGGCTCTCTCAGTGAGGCTGCTGTGAGGCTGAACTGATATCGCGTATGTGAAGTGCTGTCCTGGGACTGGCGGAAGTAAGTGTGGGGTAAGTCATAGCTCTTACCCCACGGTGTGTAAATCAACATTGATTTACAATACCACACTGTATCTGGGCTGCTGGTCACTGGCTTGTGGTCCCTCCTCTCTGAAACTTTAGTAGCTCAGGGCCGATGGCCCCACAGGTGGAGGCTGAGTGTTGGCTGTCCAGTGAGGGCATCGTGTGCTTTCTAGAATTACAGATTGGACGCACCAGGCTGTGAGTCCCACATAGACAAGAGCTGTCTGTCTTCCTCACTGCTGTGTGTCCAGCACCAACCCAGGACTTGGCGCATAGTCGATGCTCAAGAAATATTTGTGGTGACCACATGTATTTATCCCCATGCTTCTCAGTCTCCTACACTGTCCAAACTGGCCTGAGTCTCGAGAGAACACTTCTCAGCTAAAGGAGAGGAAAGTCCGAAGGAGAAAGTGACTTGGGAAGGATGTGCAGTGGGGACCTTTGAAAGTCATGTGCACATGGGACAATGCTTTGTTATGCAGGAGTATCCTGAGCATTGCAGGATACCCAGTGTCCCTGTTGATGCTTACAAAGCCACTGGTGTCCCAAGTCATTGTGATCATCAGGGATGCTCTTATAGATCCCCAAGACACTCCGTGGGGACAGGAGCCCCACTGGGATCTGCGGGTCCAGCCTACCCTCCCATTCATATGAAGAAAATGGATGAGACCCAGGGAAGGAGGGAGACGTGCCCAAATGACAGAGCTAGCATGCGGACACAATCTCTGATATTGCGTCAAGAATCTTTCTCCGTTGGGAGAAGGAATTGTTCAGATCACAGAGACAGGTCCTGGGGGAAGCAGGGCGTGGGCTTGGTCAGGACTTTCCACCCCAACATGGTGCTAAGGCCCAGCCCAGGAGCTGATAAGGAGGCACCCCCTTGGCCTTCTCCCCCACAGCTCAGCCCTGCCTGCAGGCTGAGGGGAGGATGAGGGAGCAGGAGAGTGTGGGCAGAGATAAATCTGCTCCAAGGCACAAGCTGGCTCTGATTCCTAATAGAACTGAGACGAGTATGTGTATTTTAAAGCAAATAAATGTTTCAGGACCAGCGAAGGGAGATGTTAATGGCTCCATTCGAATGCAGTGGAATTTATTTTCCATTAAGGCTTCTTTCTGAGAAGCGTGGTTCAATCAAGGTTAGACGTGAAAGCAGCACTGTGGCTGAGTGGACACCAAGTCCCTCCACCCGCTGCAAGCTTCTTAATTAGCTCTCCCAACCTACAGCCGCCCTTTGCCAGTACACAGACAGATGTGCTGCTTTTTCTTGCTCCTTTTTTTTTGGCTTTTTGCAAATTGGATATGATAATCTTTTCAAACTTGTTTTCACCGTCAGCACTGAGATGACTGGCTAGCCGGGCTGACCCATGTGCCCGCCGCCTCTCTATCCCCAGGGTGCCCCTGGGCCGGTAATGAGAAATTTGGCATGCCCTTTCAAACGATTATTTTAAACAATGAATGGTGTTTGCAGAAGTGAGACTGGGAATACAGATTTGTAATGAATGGCTCCAGCCATAATTACTTATTTTCTATATTTATCGGAAATGACTATGTACAGTATTACTGTTTTCTCTAAAGAGAAAAATGCAGTAATTATCACAGCTATTTTAATGCTTAGCAATTGCCGTTTTTTAATTACTAGGGCAAAAAAAAAAAAAATTGTTACCCCTAGAAGAGATGGCTCTAGTGTCATGAAGGATGCATTTGCACATGAATATCAGTAACTGTGCAGAGAATAAATATCAGGTGTTGGAGCTTTCTCACATTTGTTAGGCCTACACAGAAAGAGCAAGGTGGGATTTAAACAGTTTTGTCTCTGGAGTCCTCAAAAGAGTCCATTTTCTTCAGTGTGGTGTGGGAGCCGCCTCTCATAACAAAGGAGGCACAGCCCAATAGCACATGTTCATCATGTCCCGTGATAAATGTTTAACAACCAGCTTTTCGGAAGGAAAAAGAACCCTGACACATAGCGTGTCAGGCCAATTTCCATGGTGTAAATACTCCCATCATAGCTGATTTTTATTTTATTTTTTACTTCAAAGGAATATGAGTGTTACAAATTTTGAGGTTACAGTGTTCTCACTTCCAAGGTAAAGTTCAAGCTGTAGAAGAGCCCTTCACCCTCACATTGTGCACCTTATGTGAGATCCCACCAAATGCCCTCCCTTCTCCTGCTGATTGGCCTCCCCCCTCCTATCTCATCCCTCCCGTTGCTAGACTATTTTTGTGTTTTATTGTTCATATGAGCATGTACTTGTTTATATCTTGGTTTCACATTAGTATTGAGTATATTGGATCATTATTTTTTTTTTTTGCCATTCTTGAGATACTTTACTAAGAAGAATGTGTTTTAAATCCATCCAGGCAAACAAAAGATGTAAAGTCTCTCTCATTTCTTATGGTTGAATACTATTCCATGGTATACATATGCCGCAATTTGTTGATCCACTCATGGGTTGATGGGCATTTGGGTTGCTTCCATGGTTTGGCAATTATGAATTGAGCTATCATAAGCATTCTGGTGTAAATATCTTTGTGGTAAAATGCTTTTTGTTCTTCTGGGTAGCTACCTAGTAATGGGATTGTGGGATCAAGTGGAAGGTAGACTTTTAGTTCTTTG